CGAATTTATTTATTTTTTATAGTGTGATTATTCAATTTATATTTAACTTTCTAAGAGCTTTGACAATAAGAGAACAATTAAATGTCATATTATTTAACGTAATTCTTGCATAAACGAAGACCGTTGTAATTTATATTTAAGAGCTTATCACACAGCAATCGAGTATACAAAGTTTATCCTTATTGCATGGGCCCTTTTTCCTAATTTTGCTCTCTTTAGACACCTCTCTAGTAGATGTGTCCTAAACACATAGAATTATTTGGGGGCGACGCGTATAATAAGAGCTATAAGCGAAAACTCATCGGATTACTTACCGACTGTGCACGGTGGAGGCCGCCATTGCTTAACCTTGTTCACATCGCGGAGTAGCACGTTGGACTGCGGATGCTCACAATTCGTGTCACGTGACCTCGGTTAACGTCATCCAGTCACTTGAGTGGTGACGACGGAGCGATGTGGTCACGTGACTACAGCTCTGACACGTTTCCGGGCAACTATACCTTGCGTCACGTGATAGAGTACAGTGCGTTCGTTAATAGCGATCTTTCGTAGATATTGGGAACAACGGACAGAAAAAGAAAAAGATGGTGACATCCGTAATATCGACAGTATCGTGATGGCGGGATCTATGATTTTAAAATATGCGTTTTTAGAGACAAATATTAAAAAAAAACCTTCCAATAGCATTTTAGTAGTTACGAAAAAAAAACTCGAGACGACACTTACCAATTACACCACCGTGTAAATATATATAATATATTGACGTGCGCTTTCACAACTTGTAATTTTTCATTCATAAAATCATGTAATGGACACTAAAACGGAAATGAGTCCACCTTGAAACTATTATTACAAATACACATTGTTGCGTCCGACAGCACGCTTCCCGCCAGAATGTAGAAACGAGTTCGGAATTAGTCAGAATTAGTCTTTATTGTTAATACGTGACTACTTCTTGGGGGCAACCCGAACTTTGCTCGAGTTACGCTTCCGTAACACCGTAACATTCTATAACGAAATTCACGAGTTAAAATTTGAGAACGACGATTTATTTTTTGAGATTAATTAATTAACTTGCTAAAAAGAAAACAGAATCAAATTACCTTAAAATTCAGATTAAATGTTTATAAATTTATTATCTAAATTTATAAACATATATGTTTTATATAGCCTAACTAATCCTTTAAGTTTAAAAATGTAAAGTTATGTAACTATACAGTAATTTATATGTAAGATGTGGCACCGATTAGCTACTACATGAAGATTTTAAAACAATAGATGTGACACGAGTTAGAGCAGTGTTCATTCATCCAGTTTTTGTTTTTTTCTTTCGTTTAGGCAGTGTTGACAAGATAATTCAAATAGATGAAACGATGTATACAAGAAGGAAGTACAATATTGATCGTGTTTTACCCCAACAATAGGTGTTTGGTGGACTATATCGAAAAACAAAAGAATGTTTCCTTGTTCCAGTGCCAGATCGTTCGGCAGAAACGTTACTGAAGGAAATGGAAAATCACGTTCATGAAGAACAACCATATTTTCGGATTATTAGAAAGGCTATACTGTAGTACCAAAAAATTACAAGAAACAGGATATTTTCATTATCAAGTGAATCACAAATTAAACTTTGTCGATGCGGATACCGGATGTCACACTCAGAACATAGAGAGGTTATGGGGAAATTGTAAATGAAGAAACAAGATGCAAAGAGATACTTCTCGTCATCATGTCAATTCGTATCTGATCGAGTTTATGTGGAAAAGAGAGAACCGTAAAAACGAAGCATTTTCAGCAATCTTACAAGACATCGCGAAATTCATGCAACAGAAATAATAAACTACTGATGTAAAAAGTAAGCATTTTTGAAAATTTGTTAATTATTTAAACTATGCCTTTCGTATAACATTAATTTATTGTTTGATTTAACAATTGTATTAAATTTAACAGGTTAAAGTCCAGATACGTATGCTGTCATGGCGGCTTATCTCTGATTCCAGCAAACAAAAGAAAGGAAACTGTGGGGACGCACGTTCTAACCTAACCTAACCTATTCTAATAAATTACCATAATTATTACCAATCAAATTATTAGAATAGGTTAGGTTAGGTTAGAACGTGCATCCCACTGTTTGCTGGAATCAGAGATGAGCCGCCATGACAGTATACTTATCTGGACTTTAACCATTTAACAAATAAAAAATTGCATTATTCGAAAAAAACGCTATTTCCGACTGGAGGTTTCTTAATCCATAGGTAAAGGGTTTAACTTTTCATTAAATAATTGATATTATATACATTTAATATTTCCTTAATCAAAAACAAAAACTGAACTGCACGCTTATAATCTTGTCGGATATTTATATTTCATTCAGACTTAATCGAATTTATTTATTTTTTATAGTGTGATTAATCAATTAATATTTAATTTTTTAAGAGATTTGACAGTAAGAAAACAATTAAATGTCATATTATTTAACGTAATTCTTGCATAAACGAAGACCGTTGTAATTTATATTTAATGGCTAATCACACAGCAATCGAGTATACAATTATTTACAATTGTAATAAATTGCTTTGAAATACTTGATTGCTATTCGGTAAACTTTAAAAAAAAATTGAAAATTCGTTGAATAACAGTGTAATAATGTAAGGGCAAGCAGCAGAGTTATCAATATTAAGTGTCATATTATTCATTTAAAATTGTCGACAACGTTGAAATTAAATAAATTTTAGTACATAAAAACGAGCTTAAATTTTATAAATACTAGAAATTCATCCATCAAGCATGACTACATTCTTTTTATGAGAAAGTAGGGATTGAAGCTAACTTCTCCGTTAGATTATTACTTCCCATTGAATTACTTTTAATTAGTAATAATCAGCCTATAATCAATCTGTGTGTATGAATATAATAAATAATAAATTAGTTTAGAAAATAATTTATATATTGATTTTATAAGTTATTTTTTTCTGGTATTACAATTAGCTTAGATTATTTAGGTCTATAGTTTTATATACAATATATAGGCCTAAGCGTTATCTAAATTATTTTTTTCTCAGTATACGAAACATCTTTATTCTAATTTAGATTTATATTTTGCATACGTTATTTAAATATATTAATATTTTTGGGAAGGTTTTGTTTAGATTATACACGTAAAATACCGGGACGTCAAAAAGGTTTCTCTGTTATTATTGACGCCCACCTCTTCACTTTCAACCTTGGTAACAGTTCAGGGTTACGTTACGTACGGACCTAAATCTAGACTTCTTGACGTCATAAAAGAAATACTTAAGCTAAAAGGAATACGTAAGAATATTCGGATAGGGTTCATTTTTGTGATAATCATTGATATTTTTCTCTAATTTAGAAAAGTTATTTTACTTCATTACTTTCCTGTTTGTCGTATATAACCGAGGGAAACTATGGCGAAAAAAACATCTTTCAAGATTTTTAGTTTTTTGAACTCGGGACCTTAATTAAATCGTCAAAAAATACATAAAATAGTTTGGTGGAATTTTTCTGTATATTTGGTTTTTCGTGTGGGTGTGTGTGAAATGCACTATTTCGTTCACTTTTTCGAAGCAAAACAACTCTTTTGTTCGTTTGCTTTCTGAAGAAAATTTTGAAATTTTTAGGAATGTTTCTGTATTGGGGTATTGATGCAATTCAATTTTGGTGGTTAAAGGTCGAGAGGGTGAACAGAAAAACGAAGGTCGTGTGTCACATTTTTTTTAGTCGCCCTGCAGGAGATATGACACACGACCCTCGTTCACAAACTTCATGATGATTTAACTCGTTATTCCCATTAATTTTTTATTTATAAAACTCATCCCTACTCAAAAAAGTAGGCTTTTTCCTATTTTATAATAATTAATAATATAGAATGTTTTTAATTATTAAATATCATAACAGGCGGCGACACACACAAATTAAATGTTGCCGGGAAAGTTATTAATAATAAACTCGTTGCTGGATTTTTTAATGATGTATTAGATAAAATTTAATAAAAGCATTTCTAAGTTAATTAATATGATCATAGTTGAGTTTCGAATACCAGAAAAGATTTCTGAAAAATTTATTGTAATTTTTACTAAATATGTACACTGTTAATATGAAATAATGAAAGAAGGGAATTTATATATTTTAAAACAGTTAACGCAGAGAATTGAAATTTTAATCACTGTATCAGAATTTATTGAATATGAATCTGTCTGATATTTAAGATCGTTTTATTCTTTCCATTTAGTTAATTTTCTTCTTGAAAATACAGAAAACGGAAACTAAATAAGAAAAAAAAGAACGAAGTTCAATCCTGCAAGAATTTGTATATTACAGCCTTGAACGTTGCGAATTCCTGTTTTCATGAAGGAAGTATTTTTTAAAAATACAATATTCGTTTTTTTCCAATTTAACATATGCAATTATACATTTAACAATACTAATGAATAGGATTATGAATAAAACATTCTAATGTTAAAGAAGTAAAATTAAATTAAATTTTATAGAATTTATTTCATGTTTGTTGTTATTATTTTCAGTTGTTCTTTGGATGAAACACAAAGATTAGAAGAAAATATTTTCCAAGATTAAAGAAACAAATTGTATATTAGATACTGTTTTCCTTACATCGATGCTTTTTATTGTAATATATAATTGAAGAAGCAGGAGAGAGATCTATTTGATGGAATAAGGATCAATGGAAGAACAGGAAGATACACAAACACTTTTAAGATGTTTTACAGAAATTGTTTACTTTAATATGTCAGCATTGATTATCGGTGTTTGAAAATAATATTAGTAATATGATATATTTATACTCGAAGTTTGTCATCTGTATAATTAGTTTTTTGGTTTGATACAGAAATCTGCTTTTAGATATAAAAATGTTTATTTTTAGTTAAATATTATTAGTGGATAATTGTTATTGTGATTGAAGAAAATTAATTGATTAAACACAGACAAAATATTATTTTAAACAATTTTTTTTATTGCAGATAGAAGGAACAGAAAGAAATTTTCATGTAAACACTGTAAGAAGAACTTCAAAACGAAATATCAATTGCAAAATCATGAAAGAATACATACAGGAGAAAAACCTTACACTTGTGACGAGTGTAAACGGAAGTTTTCTGAAAAAGGAAACTTAATTAAACATGTTCGCACGCATACAGGAGAAAAGCCTTACACTTGTGACGAGTGTAAACAGAAGTTTTCTGAAAGAGGAAACTTAATTAAACATCTTCGCACCCATACCGGAGAAAGGCCTTACACTTGTGACAAATGCAAAAAGAAGTTTACACAAAAAGAAAACTTAATTACTCATCTTCGCACCCACACCGGAGAAAAGCCTTACTCTTGTGACAAGTGTAAACAGAAGTTTACGCAAAAGATAAACTTAATTAAACACCTTAGGACCCATACAAGAGAAAAACTGTATGAATGTCAATTATGTCCAGAGAAATTCATTCCAAATACGGACCTGAATAAACATTACAAAATTCACAATTAGAAATAATTTTCCTTCGAAACTTATAATTTTCATTTATGTATAATAATCAAAAGATTTAAGTAAAACTGGTTTAAAATTAAAATCATTTTTTAATTTTTTTTTATTTCCTGAAATTTTGGATTAAACCACGTTATTATATTCATACTTAGATGTAATTTCCTTCCAATTTTATAATTCTATAACAGAAAACTTTTTTGTTGATCGACAGAACTCTGTATTTATTAGCACACGTGGTTTTAACACAAAATTTAAGGATTTCGAATTTTCTGAAACTTTCTATTTGCAACTGTCTGTTTGAATATACAGAACAGCGTTTATGTATAAGTTTGTTGGAAACATGCTTTTATTTTAATAAATTTCATTATCATAACCTCATATGAATACTTCAATTGTTATAATAGTTAATACTATAAAAACGTTTTTTATAAGAAAATGACAAAAAATGGCGCCAGATACAAATTAAGTGTTATTTTTAAAATAACACACGGGAAAATTACGCAACTTATCGCAGAAATTTCTGTTGGCTTTTTTGGGTCGAAATTTGCAAAAATATCGGAGGGTCGTTGGTACGATTCCAATATTTTACCCTCTTATCAATGGCGTAGCGAGCATAAGTAGCGCTCGGGGAACGACACTATATTGGTGCCCCCCTCCAGAAACAAATGTTGTTTGTCTTGGAGACCATTTGGCACCCGGGGCATAATAGGGCAGCTTTTCCCCTCACTACGCTAGTGATTTTACTTTCCGTATTCCTTGATATCTTTGTCTTCTTTTCAGCTCTTCTCCTCGAATGACGATTTTTCCCCTTTCCTCTCGCGCCAGTCCCCTTTGACCAATCCGGTATCACTCCCTACTTTATAGTGACTCGTCGGACCATTGGGTCAACCAATTACGGTTAGGTCAACAGAAGAAAGGCCGGAAGTGAAATTTATGAAGGGAAAACGGTGGAAGAATAAGAAAAAGAGAGAAAAAAACAAGTCTCAACAAGCCACACACTAACAATTAGATAACAAATCAAGTAGCTTCAATAAATCGCTCGCTCGCTCGGGAGTAACTCAGAATCAAAAATCACACGTAAACAAAATAAACAACTGCGCGATAAGTGTCGAATTTGAACGAGCTAGAGCACCGCCTGCGAGCACCACTCTTTCCCTCCCGCTCATTTGCGAAGCGCTTGAGTCGCGGACGAGATTGTTTTTATGGATTTGCTTATTTTGATTTTTAAATTTAATAGTTTGCGATTTTGCGCGCCTTTCTTTAAAAGGCGCAACGTGGCACGTGCCCTATCTGCCTAACTCTAGCTACGCCTCTGCGTGTTATATAGGCCTATACAAAAAGCCGGGAAGTGAAGTGAAAAATTTGTTCCAGTTTCCGACAAACCAATATAAATAAAACGTTAATTAATAATAAAATTAATACCTTTGTATTAACTAATAACCAATTAATACAAGGATTCCTAATCTTTTTGATGTATTGACTTTTTAAAACATTTTTTTTCGTCGATCCCTTCAATATTACGTACTGTACAGTACTATGTATATTAATATATATTCCATAACCTCTTATAAAATTTTTTAAAGACACCTTTTAACGTTTATTTAAGAGCAGAAATGAATGTGTAAAATTTTAAATACGTTTTTTAATATTTCGAAGTTTTAGCCATTTCCGCGAACATTTCCAAAAATTTTATATAAACAGAATAATAAACATTATTAACTTAATGAAGACAGAAGATGCTCTCTGCCTGTCTGCTTCTACTGTCTTCACCTAAAGGGTAGGCTTAAATAAGCGAGACACAGAGAGCCCTGTCTGCCTCTCCGCCTCGTCTATCGTCTTCATCCGGCGAGCCTTAAAGATGCAGGACAGAGAGCCTTTGTCTTTCGTCAGCGTTTGCTGTCTTCTCTCGAAGGAGTTTTAAAGATCCCTCTTCATCTCCCTTCGGCCTTTTCGCTCAATCGTCTCTTCAAGAAACGAGACGCAGAGCGCCTTTTCTGCCTCCCACACATTCCTGAAATATACNTATTTAATAATAAAGTTAATACCTTTGTATTAACCAATAACCAATTAATACAAGGATTCCTAATCTTTTTGATGTATTGACTTTAAAAAAGTTTTTTTTTTTTTCGTCAATCCCTTCAATATTATGCACTGTACAGTACAGTACTATGTATATTAATATATATTCCATAATCTGTTATATAATTTTTAAAAGACATTTTCCAACGTTTAGTTAACAGCAGAAAATAGTATGTAAAATTTTAAATATTTTTTTTTATATTTGGAAGTTTTAGCCATTCCCGCAAACATTCATCAGTCCCTAAACGATCAATACTGATCCCGTAGGGAAATCCCGAATTAACACAATAGAATATATTAATGTTTAATTTTAAGAAAATATTTCAATTATGGTTAATAAATTATAGGGTAAACAATTGTAAATTACTTATCAGCAGTTTATAATAAATATAAATTATTGGCACTAATTTTATATAAACAGAATAATAAGCATTAATAACTTAATGAAGACAGAAGATGCTCTGAGCCTCTCTGCTTCTACTGTCTTCACCCAAAGTAGCCTTAAATAAGCGAGACGAAACGGGGAGCCCTGTCAGCCTCGTCTTTCGTCTTCATCCGGCGGGCCTTAAAGATGTAGGACAGAGAGCCTTTGCCTTTCGTCAGCGTCTGCTGTCTTCTCTGGAAGGAGTTTTAAAGATCCGAACACAAAGATTCCTCTTCATCTCCCGTCGGTCTTTTCGCTCGATCGTGTCTTCAAGAAACGGAACACAGAGAGCCTTTTCTGCCTCCCACACATTCCTGAAGTATACATAATCAGAAAATTTCCGGGAAGTCTGAGAAAAAGGAAGAAGAAACGTGAAACTTTCGAACAAATTTACGATTAACAATAACCACTTACAATAGAAAAAGCCAACAATACATTCTAACAATTCGTTACGTATTGATGGAATATATTTTTAACAACGAGTGACGTATTACAATTCCGTCGTGTTTTACTTTACGTGTTACGTAAAAACATTAATCGGATTGAAATATTTCAGAAAGGATTATTTTGTTAAAATAATATTTATTAGAAACAGTATTATTTGAACTATTTAAAGTTGAATTAATCTTTTTCTGATAAATAAAATTATAAAAATATCAAAGTATTCATTTATTCTGATGTAATCTGTATTTTTTACGATCCAAAGAGCAATTTGTAATGAATGTGGCCGTTTTCACGCTAGGTAATGCTTTATACACTTTAATATCTTTATACACAAACCTCCCAGCTAAATTTCAGAGATTTTCGACGAAAGGCACAGGAGTGTGCGAACAAAATCGTGCCCCTTACACACACTAACATTCATACATACAGAAAGAATTCCAGTATTTTTGTATTTTCGACGTTTTAAAGTCCCGAGCGCAAAAATATAGGAATATTGAAACCATTTTTTTACCGATTGCCACAATTTCTCTGTGTTATATATAACAGAGCCGGGGAAAATGAAAACAGGCTTAATTATGTGAGAAGCCGGACTTTAACAAAAATCCTTTTCGATTTCATCATACATATTTTGACAACTAACGTTGTTGTTTATCCTTTACTATCTGAGAACTTCTCAGTTTGCACGTTCTGGCGGCGGAAACGACGCTTTCCCGTCATCCTTTGACTTCCCAGCCGTGCTCTACCGTTTTAATATCGGAACTGACGGCCCATCGAAGCAGTCGCCACCCATTCCTCTCCTACTGAAACCTCATTAATATATTTTTTCGTACATTATCGGTTATCCGAACGACCCCAGTCCCAATTGATTTGGATAAACGACGCTTTATTGTATCTACCTTTCTTGACAATCTTGTAGTTAGACATTTGGGAGAACTAAAAATGCGAACCAAGATCGCTAAATTATTCTATTGGTTGGAAATTATGAAAGAGATTCTAAATTATTGTCAAAGTTGTCAAAGCTGTGAAGCACCGACGACG